ATTGAGGCAAGCACTTCAGAGAACACTGAATCCAGGAAATTCCAGGCATAATTCCGTCATGTAATATGATATGTTCTATGGCTAGCAACATCTCACATGAGATTTAAAACAAGATTGATGCCACTTATATTATGATCTTGCAGGTACTTTCATTGATCATTCTCTTTAGGATACGTTTTCTTCAAATGAGCGATACACTTTCAGGGTCTCGTATGCAACTCATTTAATTTTCACGGCTATTTTCGCCTTTTACACCCAATGGAACCTGTTCCTTTGGAAACTCGAGACTGGTTATTCTCTAGCGTTGACGTTTTGTATTCCCAGGGTGACGATTCCGAAATTCAAGTACGAGGACTTTCTACTGTTGAAGCTGCCATGGCACCAATTTGTTTCTGCTACCAGGGTGATGTTTTGATGAGGAAATAGAGGTTCTGCAGAACGTGTCTCACCAGAAGTTGGTTCCACAGAAACATCGTCATCAACTGATTCTGACTTACTGTACTCTAGGCATTTGCAATTTAGAGTTAACAAGACATCTTTTAAGATTTTAGTTCATTTCTTCTGGCCTACTTTGTGTTTCACAGTTTGTAAGACTTGTCATGCATGTAAGGTGGAAAGGAAACCTCATCAGAAAATACCCCATGCCCCTTTGAAGTCCATACATGAATTTGAAGAGCCATTCAATCGGGTCATTGCTGAAAGTAAGTATACATATACAACGGCATATGTTCATACTTACAGTAATCATGAATTATTTAAAATAGAAAAGGAGTGTAACTGATAAGAAAAACATGATGTGTGTGAATATCCTCTATTCACCACAGCATACTTTTGAGGTCAGTTGACATAACAGTTCTTTGACGAAATAGAATGAATGCCAATATCACACACTGTTGCAAATTATGAAAGCACTATCCAAAATTGGAAGTTCACGTATAATTAGTGAACCAAACATTTAGATAATAAGAAATGTATGTTGAAGACACTAGTTCGACAGTTAACTTTAACATAGTTGAAATGTCAATTATAATTTTCTATATTCAGATCGAGCAACACCTACAGTACACGCCTCTGAGAAAGAGAGATACTGCTGTCAAAATTTCACTCAGCATCACACAATGTCGGGAGTTAAATGAATTCAAAAGAAACCCTTATTTTACTGTTTAAAGAAAGTTGCTTCACACTGATCATTACTGACATCCCTGTCACTACACGGTATAGAAGGTGCACAACAAAAAACATTCAATGTTTGTCTGAAACTCGTTCAAGATAAAGAGTAAAGGCGGTTTTGATATTTGTTTACATAGACATGCAATTATCAGAAGACAGGTAGTTATTAGAATTGTATGTTCACCACAGAACATCCCTGATTGCAATCATTCTGGTTTGATTATCACCGTGATTCTAAAATTGTACATACATGTATTCTGCACATATTCTCGATGTATCAAAATATACTATAATGAACACGGATATCCGACAATGGTCAACAGAATGTAATCTGTAATATTTAAACGGCTTAAATGTGTACTGATAAACTTTTCACACTCATTAGAAAGCAAGCCATGCAGAAATGAAAGCACGCTAATGGATTCTGCTGCAAAGATTAGGTTTTTGTTGCTAATTTTCCTACGTCACCGTACTGTGATTTTTCAAAAGAAAACTTTCAACTAATGTTTTTGTTTTGTCAGTCATACATCTTACTGTATTTATTTTGGCTTTGGCTTTAGCAAATCATTCAATTCGCTCGAGTTTGCAACCTTTCAGTATCACATTTGATTTAATCACTATTTCCAAATACGTATTAACCTGTGTTTTGTTAATTCTTAATATTCTTTATGCTACTTCTACGTACGCTCCTGGGAAAAGTAAATCCCAGCCACAGTTCATACTGTACCGCTACCCTCTTTACAATCATCATGCTTGATCATTTTAGGTTTATATGAGTATCTTATCGTACGTATTATATCATCGTAAATGGGAGGGGCGGAAGTATAAATGTACATAAATTCCATTCTACTCTGACCGGAGATCTAAGTCAAAATGAAACTTACGTCTTCCGTCTAATTGTCAGTCAACCTGCCAATCGGTTGATTATTTTCTTTCTTTTTGTTCACTTTCACTATAAAAAACGCAATACACACCAGAAAGCAAGACGTACATACAATTAAGATTAATTATTTCGAATGAGGTTGATACAGATACCACATACCGATGGCAACGAATAAGGGAACAATAAAAATATTTGGGAAATAAGCTTTACTGCCAGTACATACACATTCTACAAATTTCGGAATCAAATGTTGAGATGTGTTTGTGTGAATTGTTTACAATTCGTAATTGGTAGACAAGACAGGGCACCCATGATAGCATATCATTTTACTGTGTTGCCTTATTAATTTCCATCAGTATACATTACTTCAATATAGATCTAAAACAATTTACATGTAATAACACAGCACATAGAAATGCACTCCTGTTCCTTTTCTTGGCCAGTCGCCTCCTTCTCACGGTGGTTAATACATATTTCTGTATGTAAAAAGGAACCTACGGTTGTACCCAGGTGCTATGCATTAATGTTGGCAGAATGAGGACTTAAGTAACTGAAGTATTATTTATAAATAATAATGTTAAGAAACCATGAAAAATGTTCTTGTTCTGTCTTTAGTGTTCATATTTGAATCTGAGCCTATATAGAGATATCATGTATGAAGGAAGATTAGTAAATTATTCTTCATTCACACCAAAGTACTACATCTTATTTATAAGGTGGGTGGTGGTGAGGGGAAATGGGGCTTAACGTCGCGTCCAAGCTTATTGCATTTATATAGCGACGACGTACATGCACGTATGTGTGTGTGGCTGCTTGTATTTGTCCGGACTGGTGACGATTTATAGTGCTAGCACACTGAAATACAATGCCGCAGTTTAACATAAATACCTCATCCAGGCACAGTATACTGACCCCGAGCCGACCATTTGGCCCCTAAATGCCGAGTGCCAGACAGGGTAACACCAAGTACAATATGTGATATGATGCGGCCGGGGATCGAACGCCGGAACTTCCGCTCTCCGGGCAGACGCTCTACCACTAGACCACGGAGGTGGTCACTTTATGTTAAAGTCATTATGATGAAATATCATATATGTGTACTCCTTTATCGCCAAGTGTAGTCATTTCGAGATCATTTTGAATTTGAAAAATAGGTTATTCAAAAATATCCTTTTGTGGTAATATATCGCTCTTTCTTTCAGTTTCCTGTATAATGAAATATGAAAATCAAAATATTAACACTTCAGTTCATGACAACACAGTTAATAGAGGTACAGCTACTCTCTACAATAGTGCGATATAATTATTTTGTAAGGTACATACTCTGATCTTATCTGACGCTCCTATACGTAATCTGAACAAAAAGAGTTTGTGTGTAGGTGGTATCGTCTTAATCATCAATCAGGTCTGTATTAAACAGGGCAAACAGTGCCAATTGGATTCTATAATAATACAATATTAATTGCATGAAAGACTGTAAAAAAGTTACACTGTAAAATGATACAAAAGAATAAATTTTATTTCAACATCAAAAATTGCGTTTTCTGCTGTGTCATAAACAACATAAGTTACCTATACTAGTCAGTGATATTTGACATCAGCCATGCAGCTGTGAATAGGTATTACACAGGGATATATATATGGTGTGTTCGAAAAAAGGCAAATAAAGCAAATTATATGTTTTCAGTGTGGTTAACATTTCAGTAAGAGCAAATACGTTCAAGTTTGGAATATTAATCAGTTCCTAAACCAGCATTTCCAACTCATATGCGTACCGGCCGAACCTACAGACTGCAGAGTGAAAAGTCAATTAACTGCTTTTATGCTTCCAATGTTATTTTAAATCTTCTAGCAGCTGGGAAAATTCACTTATTAAGGTTTTAGGGCAACCTGCATCTTGAAGTATCCACGCATATGCCAGACCAGACGGTAAGAATGTGAGATTTGAAACTGCTGACCTTGATATGTTTACCTACTGAAAAACACAAATTACAAACCAGACACCTTCACATACACAACGACGTATTCAAACCCAGCAGATTATGTATGACTGTAAATTGCCTCCGAAAACACGAACTAGGACTAAAGAATCTAGAATCAACCTAGAGTTGTAACCCTTCATTTACTTATGGAAAGTGATATATGTTCATATAGCAACTGTTTATTCATTTGATTATATAGTATAGAAAGATTCAGCAAGACATGACCCCCAACACATGTTGGCACCTTTCACATTATTCTAACTTTAATGTAAGTGAAAAACTTGAATGCGTCGATAAAGTGTGAGTTAACGTCAATCGGGAAACGTCAGTGGTCTGCGGCAGTGGTCAGTGCACAACAATGTGTATCCCCTCGACATGTGTTACTAATTACCCCATTACTGACGTGGCTGCTACACTCAACGAATTAACTCGGGCAATACAAGCCAGGGATATTACGGTCAACTGGTCAATACTGACCAATATGCGACCGCGAAGCTAGGAGCGTATTAAATATATAGTAAATCAAAATGAGGTCATACTAGATTTCAAGGATATCAATAACTGTCATTTATGAGCAACTTTTACGATTATTTCACACGTTAGAAAATATATGAAAACAGTGACCATATTTACACACCTTCGTATTACATGAGTATAGTCACCAGGACAGTGGTTTATTTTAAGACCCGCGTAAATGTGTACATTTTCCTTTCCTAGCATTAATAAATTTGGACATAGTATATCCTCGTGTGGTGTTATTTGAAGGTATACAACTTTGCAATTTACATATGTTGTATGTAGACCACGCTGGCAAACTTGACATTTTCCTTTTATTTGACATAACTGTCGCCATGCATATTTTATCACTTTGCAATAAGGCTGCATTTTGTCTTTAAATCGTGAACACATGTACACATGTTAGTACTGAAAAGATAGGTGCCCTATCTGTCACTCCTTAATGCTGATTTGCTGTGAACATTCACCAAGCAAACACATGTGGTCAACACTACATTTCTTACACCGTCACACGTACAGAAAACACGATGAAGAAAGTCATGATTATGTTGCTGGTTGCTACAATTTCTGCTGTTACCCTAGCAGTAACAGGTATTAGTACATTTTGTCTTGATACTCAGATTTGATCTGGTTATTTAATTTGGTTTGTGAGCACACGTGCTCGTGGGTTACACTAAAATAGTAAAGACCTGCATAACATCAATCTCATGCGCCGTGATAACAATGAAATACTGTTTATAGAGGCCTTAAGCCAAACTCACTCACTCAATTGATGTATATGTATTCTAGACGAACACTGTACCGCCCTATTAATCCTGTGTCTCGTGGCACCTTGGGCAGCGGTACATGTAGATGTGCTTGTACTACCTGTACATTATATTAGTATTAGAGTAAATGTTAGCAGTACTGACCACAGAGATGTTCATCCACTGGCGATACGTTGCATGAATTGGATAATGTATTACAGTGAGGGCCGTTTATATACAGAGTCAAATTAAAAACTTCACATTTTTAAAAGTAATCCCATATATGATATACAACGGACAAATGTATCAGAGAAGGTAATTTTTAATCATTAATGTCCAAAGAAGGATTTTAATTAACGGTGGTAACCATAATTTGTTCCAAGCACCTACGGTATTCGGTAATAACATCAACAGTTTAAATCATAAGTCCCAAGCTCGAGAATCTGATGGCACACAAGTTCAGTAGCGTGTATGGCCACCATGTGCGTTGACAACTGCCACACAACGCCTCCGCATGGACCTTGTGATGCTTGTGAACACATGATTGGGAAGACGACGCCATTGTTGCTGCAAAATGGTGCCAAGATCTTTCAAATTCTTTGGTTGGTCCTGGAGAGTGCGCAGACTTCTGCCAAGAGCATCCCGGGCGCGTTCGATGGGATTGAGGTCGGGAGACCTTGACGGCCAGTCCATGACGTTGACTCCCGCATTCTGAAGGAAATTCCATGTCAAAATTGCTGTGTGGGGTCTGGCATTGTCGTGTTGGAAGATCAAACCGGGTCCATGTGCTGCCATAAAAGGCAGAAGTTCTGGTGCCAGTACCTGGTCGCGGTAAGCAGCAGCGTTGAGGTTGCCACGGATGACAAGAAGCCTGGAACGTGCATTGCCACAGAAAGCACCCCACACCAAGACACTTCGAAATCTGTCAACTTTCTGTACACAACACTGGGCGTAACGTTCATGACGGCGCCTCCACACCCTCGCCCTACCATCAGCAAATCGAAGATTAAATCGGAATTCATCACTGAAGACGACTTGAGTCCATCGTAAGTGTCGCTGTGCCCACAATTGACGTTGACGTCTGTGTAATTGAGTCAGAATCGGCCCACAGTATGGCCGTCGTGCTTGAAGGTGAGCAGTTCTCAGACGGTTTCGAACAGTTTGCGCACTCAGTCTACCCCTAAACAGTTCATTTCTGGTTGATGTAGCCGTCAAAAATCGGTTACGGGGGTGACGTAAGACAATCTGACGATCCTCTGCATGTGACGTCACACGTGGTCGACCTGGCCGAGGGAGATCAGCGGTGGTACCCGTTTGCTGTAGACGCGTCTGTAAATCATAAACAGTCCGTCGACTACAACCCATCGTCCTTGCGGCTTCAGCTACGGACGTTCCCGTCTGCAACATGCCGATGGCACGTTAACGTTGCACATTTGAAAGGCGTGGCATGACAAATGGCCGTAAAGACTTTTGTTTTCTTGTGTTTTTTCTTCTTTTTTTTAATGACTGCTAACAAGTATGGCTGAAAACACGTGCGATATTATGGCCACGTGACCAGTTGCACGTGAAAAAACACCTTTGCCACTATAGACTTGAAGACAATACGTGGCCATTACTGCTTAAATACACAATAAGGGCCCACAATGATAACTGGTCAAAATGTTAAAATTTTAGGATTGTGAAGTTTTTAATTTGGTTCAGTATAGTATAAGGGGTGAGGCGATAATTTACACCGATTACTTATTCATACTTCCATGTTTCACACACTGAAACTTTGCGGTCAGTACTGTGATTATTCTTTTAGAATTTTTTTGTAAGTAACATTAATGATAAAAATTTCCATATGATTGAGATATATAAATGTGCTGACGAGTCCTGTTTTGTCCATTCAGATCTAAATCCAGTAAAGAAAATAAATAAGCGACTTTCCATGGAAGAGCCATTTGTATTTCCATCTTTGATAAAATACTTTATAATTTTGTTAACAATACTGTAAGTGCATGCAGTTGTAACGTTGTATGAAAGTACATACATTTCACGAGATGTTGGGGTAGTATCGGCTTAAAAATTTCCTTATCATGCCCTAAAGGCAGAGTATGTGATGCTGAATTTTGGTTTCCACCGTGGTATAGCAGTAATATTTCCAAAAGTAAAATCTCACACATTCACCCACCCATAAACACTCACCAACGAACACACCCAGACGCATACTCACTCACTGACTCCCTTATCAACAATTCGTTGCTTTGAAAGGTTGTGAATATGTTACAGTATGTATTCAGACAAACGACACAGAACACGACCCATGTTTTCACCGTTGATATGTTCGAGACAGGTCACACGTTTGATAAAAAGTTTCTGAAATTTAATGTACAATGTGTTACCTTTTCAGTTGATGATCTCACCCCTGATCAGTGCCTATATGGTGGCGTAGTGTACAACAGCGGTGATAGTTTCAAATCAACCGACGGCTGCAATACCTGTGGCTGTGGTGGAAGGAACGCTGTGTTCTGTACCCTCATGGCTTGCATTCCACCAAATATTGATGGATAGAAAGTATGCTGATGAAATACAATAGCGCGTGAAGCTCCCAAAATGACACAAATTGTATCAATAAAGCTAGGATATTCGCTGTTGTAGTACATTTTGTTTTGTCAGTTTTCAAGAGAACCCACTTTGAAATCTTTAGAAAAGTGCAGATTAAGAGGAGACGCTTTCATCTTGGTATAGGCATATAGATTTCTGTGTTCGAGAGAGGGAAGAGGTGGCGGTGGCATCATCAGTTTGGACGATTCCCTCAAAGTATAAATAATTAGGTAATAAGTATAAATCGCCCTGTTGCACGTTCTAGTTTCATAAACTTACTATCATCCAAAATTAATACTTTTGTACTCTAATATATCTTTGGTGATTCCTCGCTTCTGAATGGTTAATCTGAGGTATCAAACAAAGATAGCATGCCTCTGATTTCGTAACTAACAATAATCGCAGAGTTTGACTTGTTTTCTGGACAGCCAAAAAATTCTGAGTCTTGCAGCCAACGTAATCTCGCGTGCTAAATATGATATGATGCCGTACACAATACAATTGAAAATGTGTTCGGTCGTTAATGCGAAACAGAACCTTTGGAACATGAATTCCAAGAAGTGTAGATGTGACAATCACATGAGGCAATCGATAAACTAGTCGATTTGGGATTTCGACGCTGAAAACATTTATACTCTCAAAAATATATAGTGAGAGAGAGAGAGAGAGAGAGAGAGAGAGAGAGAGAGAGAGAGAGAGAGAGAGAGAGAGAGAGAGAGAGAGAGAGATGCACGTCATACATACACCAAATACTGATTCATGGTAGAGTAACCTACAATTCAATTCAGGTGCTATGAAAATGCAAGTGCAATACCGAATGCCATGTTATTTTTACAGTACAACTGTTAGTGTGATAAACCAGATGGATTATATGTTCATAATGTGCGACCTTAACGTTAATCTTTACATGAGGTTTGAGAATTCTGCATCTGATCAAGATAACAAACATATGTATATTCACACGCATACTCATATAGCTTTCACAAAATCACTTAACATTTTGCTTGACCGTAATGGCGCCCAGGTTCTTTTTCTTCTTAATCATTTACCTTTGCTTGCTCACTGCACACGTAGGTACGTATTTTTCAATATGCTCTTGATTTCTGCTTGGAGTTTAAAGTAGGAATTTATATATCACTTATATAATTATATTTTTTAAGTCATTGAAATGAAAACGCTTTGGAATTCACAAACTACTCAAACGATTCATTGAATACAAGATATAATAATTCTACGCTCTATTTCAGAGACACCATAACAAATGAACTTTGCTTTCTGCGACAAAATGATATCATTGAGTTGGTGCGCATTCCCTAACCGTTGTTCCCAATACACAAGTTATGAATCTATCCATGTTTTACTGACTTCACATGTAAACCATTATCGAGTCATATTACACATTGTTGAGGATCCGAATCCAAAACGTATTTTTCACCATCATGTAAGGCTAAGACAGAACTAACACAGGGTATATGACCCTTGCCTTACCCTACACCTGGTCAACTACATTACATGCTTATTACACAGTTGCTGCTGGTGCGGAAACATGTGAAGGAGCTGATGGCAAGCTGTACACTGCAGGACAGGCATTCCCGTCCAAGGATGGATGCAACACCTGCATCTGTGGTCCAGCCTTGGCCACTGTCTGTACCAAGATGGCATGTCTACCCCCAGACATAGGGAAGTAGGAACCAAAATAAAACTAATCGTATTTGGAAAAACACAAATTGTCTCACAATTGATATCCTCCGTCAGGATTCTAAGGTTACTTGAACCACATCAACCCCATGCTTGGCATACGAGGCGTCTCTTTGATGATAGTCTGTGTCACGTGTGTCGATGGAGGAGGAGAGTCTGGTGGTTGTGGTCACTGGTGACAGGAACATTTTATCTAATACATCATTTCGACCCTAACTTCATAAACGTTCTAGACATGTGTGAGAATGGGCCCTATTCTATCAATCAGATTGTTTTGCTAAGACAATGTGCACAAACTATTAAAAGACTTATATAATCAATTTCAAAACTTCCAATGGAATTTCATGAATCTTTCTGATATTTATAGAATACTAAACGAGCTCCCGTGTAATACCAAGTTTATGAAACGAGTGAATAGTTGTGGTATCTGACGAGAGAAAGCGAGTCAGATACCACAACTATTCACGAGCTTCATAAAATTGGTTTTACACGGAGCGAGTTTAGTATTTTATTTATTACTTGCCATTTATAACGTTTATAGAATTATACTGTTGAGTGTGAATAGGCTGACACCTACACGATCCACGGCATAATCCAATTGAGTTTAACACAATAATACTTCAAACACGTCAAAAGTTGAAACGTATGAATTTAATACCATACAACGGCCCACCTTTAGAATTCAGGCGTCCGTTCCACAAAATTATCGTAGCGTTAAGGTTATTGCAACTAACATACTTTAAATTAGACCAACGACTGTCGTTGCGCTACAGTACGATCGCCTTGTGGAACGGGGCCTTGCACCTCAAAGTCTACAATCACGTCACAACACCCGATGACGTATTTTGTGGAAATTTGTTGCAAGATCCTTCCGCGAAACAATGCCATATGACGTCAGCCTAGCAACAAGGTTGCTGGGGTCATCGAGTGTGCATAAGCTCCTCTCAATGATCTATCAACTCCACACGCAATGTCGTTGAATAAGCCAAGGGATGTTAAGAGCTTTCAATATTTGTTCTAGAAACCTTCTGAGAGTACATAAGCACACATTTTGTTATTACACAATGACTGTGTAATACAGCTGTATGTTTATTAAACGGGTTATCTCTTCACGGGCAAGTAATAAACAAATATACCAATTTGTGTCGTATTTGTAGACCAGCTCTGTATTCCCGGATGCTGTCATATCCGTTACAATGCAACGACGTTCATGTCGGACTTAATAGTAAGTGAAGAGCTGATTGATTGGTTAAGTTCGCTTTTCTCTGGTTACGTGGTCAATCCTTGGCAGCTTATTCTTGCATCTACAGAGTTATTTCTTAAATCTGACAAATAAGTTATTTCAATTCTCATTTTGGGACAGTTATAATCTCAGACTATTATTTTGATAAATTATTACTGAGCTCCGCTGCACTTTAATAAGGTATGAAATAATTACCGTCTCTACATGGTTGATGACGGCCGCAACGTAGGTCAAACTCAATATTTAACTCATCACGGATACATTGGCAGATGTGTTGATCAGTCCTGCGTGAGTGACATGTCTGTATGTAAGCACGAGTTAACAGTTATGTTATGAGTCATTTTGAACACCTGCACATTTACTGCTAACAAAAGAATATAAATTAACCGTTGATGGATTTGTCAACAGCAGATCATGTGTAAGTTCATCAACACTCACTCAAATGTAATTTTACAAAGTGTGACACTAATATAATACAAACACAATTCATGTTGACATTTTTCACAACATACAAAGGTTTTCATGATGTCTATGATTCGTATATAGCCTTTTGCTTTTATTGCCACTTAGAACGTGCTTGGAAAATGTATTAATATTAACCCTTCTTGACACCTGGAAGGCGCAGAGGCACAAACATCAATACACTTTCGAAGTCAGATTGGCTGTTATAGCTATTATAGGTTTTTGCGACCTAAAGGGCTTACAAAACCTTCACATCTCATTCAAACGTGTTGGTATTGTGTCCCTAGAGACGTGGTTGTGTCGAAAGAAAACACATTATTCAGAAAAGACTAAGTCCTGTCGGAAATGCGAAATAAACATGCTCTCTTCCAAATATTTTCCCCTGACAAACTTCCGCTTAACCAGTATTTCGTAAGATCTACCCACCCAGGGCTTAAAATGGAATCAATTACGCAAGTAGAATCTATTTTTGTAATGACAGTCAGGACAAAGCACGAGAGTTGTCATATCGGAATATTGACAGCACAAAGTGAAGACTTTTTACGCGTATGTCACATAATCAATTATGTAATAACTTTCTGTGCCGTGATTGACATGGATATTTAGATAAACTCCCGCTCCAGCAAATCACATCTATCATGACTGACAGAGTACGTTTTTTTTTCTGTCACATGCCAGTGCCCTGTGTTATGTAACTTGTGCGTTTATCAAAAAGTTGTGTTCGTGTATAACCTGCATCGAAATGAAATCTATAAACATGGATAAAAACAAATAAGAAACTGAATAATATGTAACCTTTTGATATTTTCTGGTTTGGGGACATACATATTCAGTCTTATAATAAGCGTTTTCCATAATATTACAATAATACAGAATGTTAACAAATATGTCCTATACATGTACAAAGAAAATTTACATCAATAATATGATAACGCAATGACATTCAAAATATTAGAATATATGAGCAACAAAACCATTTTCATAATCACAGGAGTCAGTTGTGCGAGTCAGACTATCACGATCTTGTCTTTATAAATCACAACTAATTCGTGGTGAAACCAGATATTCTCCGAAACCTGAGGTTATTTCGCCTCACAAACACATGTAAAGGCGGGTCAAATGTTCAACTGAATAACTGAATTTTGGTACAATTCAAAATAAGGAATTGCATCGGACATAATCTTGTTCATTGATGCGTCACATTTGGAAATGTCCTCCGCGTGTATACCATAAAGTTTGTGTTTGCCTTACGAAGGCCTTGAAACAGCATGCTAGATTATACCTAAATATTGGGAAATGTAGATACCAAAGACGGGGGCTACTGGGATATTGCGCGACATAAAGTGAAAGCTGACTTTTGGAAAATGGATGCTATCCCTTTTATCATGGTGTCTTTTGGATACTTCACAGCCACTCTGTATCGTTACTTAACAGCCACTCTGAATCGTTATTCCTAGATCGATATAATTGTGAAACAGATGAGGTGGTTTGACTTGTCTACATGTATATTCATGTCCCATTGATCAAGGAATAACGTTTATCGTGTGGGATAGTAGTGTACAAAGTTGAAAATTCAAATGTTTTGACAGAGTTAAACTTTTACGGTTAATCTTTAAAACATGGATTTGGTGGTGCCTCTGTGTATATCTCTTT